GTCCATGATCCATGCGGCTGCCCCCCATTTTCAATGGCCGTTTGCGGTTCAGTACGCAGCGCATCAGCTCAACCTCCAGCCCCGGGTCTCCTTGCCAGAGACCTCCCCCACCTTGCGGTGGACGGGGAAGGTTGGCGATGCGTCTGCGTTTTGGGTCTGGGGATCTCGAGCGTTTGTCCGCGACTTGTCTGCGGACAAGCTGTCCCCCCGTGCTGTTCCCTGTGTCTTCCTTGGCTTCCCCCCTGACGCGCCTGGGTGGCATTTTTACCACCCCACCTCGCGCCGTGTTCTGTCCTCCCAAGACGTCACCTTTGACGAGTCGGTGCCTTACTACCGTCTCTTCCCCTACTGCACTGCACCCCTCCCCCCACCGCCGCTCTTCCTTGCGCCAGGTCCTCCCCCGGTAGACCCCCTCCCCCCTCAGGGTCCTGCCCCGTCAGGTGTGTCCCAGGTAGACGCAGTCGAGCCTGTCGAGGTAGCTGTTGACTCTGGTGCTGCTAGAGGTGCTGAGCCTGCGGGTGCCGGGTCTGGAGGTGCTGAGCCTGAGGGTGCGGAGCCTAGGGGTGCTGGGTCCAGGGGCGCGGAGCCTGGGGGTGCTGAGCCTGGGGGTGCTGCGTCTGGGGGTGCTGAGCCTGGGGGTGCTGAGTCTGGGGGTGCTGGGTCTGCTCGTGTGGCCTCTCGAGGTGCTTCATCGAGGCGGGAGCCACTCTCTCCGCAGGAGCTGCGCGAGTGGTTTGCCCGGCGCTGGAGCCGTGCTGCTGGAGATGGAGGTACTACTGTTACTGCTGGTCCCGGAGGTACTCATACTGGCTGTGCTGGAGCAGCTGGGACTGGGGGTGCTGCTGGAGCTGCTGGAGTTGGTCCTCCTGGAGGTACTTCTAAAGCTGCTGGCGTTACTGGAGCTGCTGGTCCTGCTAGAGCTGGAGCTGCTGGAGCTGGAGCTGCTTGGGGTGTTGGCGCTGGTGGTTCTGCTGGCGCTGGTGCGTCTGAGGGTGCTGGAGTTGGCGCTGTTGGAGCTGGAGGTGCTACTAGCGCTGGTGCTGCCGCTGGGAGTACTGGTGCTGTCCCTGCTGGGTCTGGAGGCGCTGCGCGGCCGCGGCCGTACTTCGTTCCACTCCTTGAGCAGGTGCTTGGTCTCCCGCCCTCTAGTGGTCCTGCTCCTCCCTTATGAGAAAACAGAACGAGGATGATTGGACTATGAAAGAGTTGGGTACAAGTATTAACCCTAATTGGGTTGTACCCCTTTTGGGCTACCCCACTACAGCCTACACTAATGTATAAGCTATAATGTTCTCACTCACCCCCATAGGCAAAGTGGGGGAGAACAAGGGGTCACAAGACCAGTCAAGCAAAGTAAAACTAAGCAAGCTCAGGGTGGATCACAAAGTCACCACACATTCCGAGCACAAGTTCAAGGCCACAAGGCCAGTCCACATGCAGGATTACATATATATATAAGGCTAGACAAGCAAGAGCAGGTGTATATATATATGCAACAATACAAACAAGGTCAAGGAGTGAGCAAGTGAGGCAAGGTAGGCACAAGACCCAGCTGAGTACAGAAGCGCTGATGATCACAAGGCGCAAGTACCTTGGTGAAGATATCAGCAGTGTTGGCCTCAGAGGCCACCTACGCAAGTCGCAGCTGACCACGCTGCTGCAGCTCACAAGCAAGGAAGTAGCGGAGAGCAATGTGCTTCGTTCAGTGCTCTAGTCTCTGCTCTCGACACAAGGCCAGCATGGCCTTGTTGTCTACGTACAGCACTGGAGGAGAACGAGGCGGCTCTCCAAGGTCAGTCAGCAGGTAGGTGAGCCAGCGAAGCTCCTGTGCAGCCATGGCCCCAGCGTAGATCTCAGCCTCACAACTGGAGTCGAGAACAGAAGACGAGCGGGTAGCCCGCCACGAAACAGAGCCGGAACCAAGGCTGAAGGTGTAACCCTGTGACGACTACTGCGTAGCCTGGTCGTCAGCCCAAGAAGCGTCTGCGTGCCCAGTGAGGACCACTGGACTCTGCCCTCCAAGCACAAGCCCCATGCCTGACGTACTGCACAAGTAGCGCAACACCCTCTTCGCTGCAGCCATGTGCTCCGGTCTGTGTCTCCCAGGAGCAACATAGCGTGCAAGAATGCTAAGAGGGTATGCAAGGTCAGGTCGTGTGCAGGTCATCAGGTACATGAGGCAGCCAACAAGCTCTGGGTATGGGCCACTCGACTCTACGGACTCATCCGAAGGCAGAGCTGAGAGCGAGTGGCGAGTAGGCAGAGGAGTGGCCTGAGGCGAAGAGTACGTGAAGCCGAAGCGCTGAAGGACCTGCTGCACCATGTGTGACTGAGTCAGGGTAATGGTGCGGCGTGCTCTGTCCCGGGTGATCTGCAAGCCAAGGTAGCTGCGCAGTTCACCCAGGTCTGTGCACGTGTGTCTCTTCTGCAGCTCGGACTTCACGTGGGCGAGTCCAGCAGTGTCAGCTGTGGCAAAGACCAAGTCGTCGACGTACACGAGGATGTAGAACGGCGGCAAAGAGGTGTCGGTGCGCAGAAACAGCGACGGGTCGGCAGTAGAAGGAGCAAACCCAAGAGCCTCAAGTGTAGTCCTCAGTGTGTCGTGCCACTCACGGTGCGCCTAGCGGAGACCGTAGACTGGCCGTCGGAGGCTCCACTGGGTGCCAGGGGGAAAAGACCCAGTGAAGCCACGTGGGCGACGCAGCCAGATCTCCTCGTGCAGGCTGCCCTACAAGAAAGCAGTGCTGAAGTCAAGAGAGTGCAGCTCGTAGTCGCGGTGAGGAACTATGTGCAGCAGTACCAGAAGAGTGGTCATCTTCGGGGTGGGAGAGAAGGTCTGAAAGTAGTCAACTCCCTGCCGCTGACCGAAACCATGAGCCACGTAACGTGCCTTGAAGACAGGCGGAGATCCAGGCGGCCGCTTCACCCTGAAAATCCACATGCCACTGACGATGTTCGCCCCAGGAGGGGGAACCTCGTCAACGTAGGTGCCTGTGGACTTCAAGGAAGCCATCTCTGCGTCCATAGCTGCCTGCCACTGAGAGGAGTAGGGACCCTCTATCGCCTCCGCGTAAGAGCGCGGAGTCGGGATGTCAAGTGCATCCGGGTCTCCCTCAGGGGTAAGCAGTACGGACACGAGATGAGGTGAAGCAGCAGCCAGACACTGGAACTCCTCCTGCCTGTCCTGAAGGACGTCCGTGCTAAGAGCACACTCACCCCCGACGGACGGAGGACAAACAGACTCTGGCGACAAGACTAGCAGCGTAGTCTAGACGACAGCGAGCAGCAAAGTCGACGAGCTCAGCAACTAGGGTAGACGCAGCAGTGGACTCAAAGGAAGGGTCAGTGACGACAGTAGCAAGGAGACGCGTGACCGTAGGACAGGCAGCACGAAGAGAGTCCGACTCCAGGTCGGCAAGAGCAGGAAGAGAGGACTCAGGAGGAGAAGGCAAAGGGGCACGCAGAGGAGCAGTGGACGGACGCAGAGACATCCGGCAGGCCCAGCAGCTCCAGTACTCCCAGTACGAGCACCTCCGGGACCCACGGCACTAGCACCCGCAGCAGCCGAAGAACCTCCAGCTCCAGCAGCACGCCTCCAGCGCCGGGCAAACCACTCGCGCAACTCCTAAGGAGAGAGGGGCTCCCGTCGAGACGAAGCACCCGGAGAACCTCCAGGCCCAGCACCGCCAGATGCCGCACGAGCAGGCCCAACTCCCTCAGGCTCCGCACCCCCAGGCTCAGCACCTCCAGGCGTAGCACCCCCAGGCTCAGGACCCCTTGGCGTAGCACCCCCAGGCTCAGCACCTCCAGGCGTAGCACCCCCAGGCTCAGGACCCCCAGGCGTAGCACCCCCAGGCTCAGCACCCCAAGGCTCAGCACCCCCAGTCGCAGCACCCCCAGGCTCAGTACCCCCAGTAGTAGCACCCGCAGGCTCAGCACCCCCAGGCGTAGCACCCACACGCTCAGCACCCCCAGAGTCAGCACCCCCAGGCTCAGCACCCTCAGCAGCATCTAAGTCACCAGTAACCTCGACAGGCTCGACTGCGTCTACCTGGGACACACCTGAAGGGGCAAGACCCTGAGGGGGGAGGGGGTCTACCGGGGGGGGACCTGGTACAAGGAAGAGCGGTGGCGGGGGGAGGGACGGAGTGCGGTAGGGGAAGAGGCGGTAGTAGGGGACCGACTCGACAAACGTGACGTCCTGGGAGGACAGAACACGGCGAGAGGTGGGGTGGTAGAACTGCCACCCTGGCGCGTCAGGGGGGAAGCCAAGGAAGACGCAAGGAGCAGCACGAGGGGACAGCTTGTCCACAGACAAGTCGCGAACAAACGCCCGAGATCCCCAGACACGGTACGCAGACGCATCGCCAACCTTCCCCGTCCACAGCAAAGCTGGGGAGGTCTCCGGCATGGAGACCCTGGGGTGAAGATTGATCTGATGCGCTGCGTACCGAACCGCAAACGGCCACAGAAAATGGGGGGCAGCCACATGCATCATGGACGTACGAGCGATATCCATGACCATGCCAATGCGGCGCTCAGCAATCCCATTTTGCTGTGGAGAGTCCGGAAGCGTGAAGGTCTGGCGGATGCCTCGTGCATGACAGTAGGCTCGCAGAAGGCCAGAGGAGAACTCTCCGCCTCTGTCAGAGTGCAGACGCAGAACAGGAAAGTTCGAGCCGAAGCTCTGCCTGAGCTGGAGACGAGCTGCGCGGATCCAGTCGATCAACACCTCAGTGACATCACCCTTGCTGCGCAAGGGGAAGACTGTGGTGTAACGCGAGTAGTCGTCAACCACCAGCACGAAGGAGCGCTCGTGACCTAGTCCACGGACGCGGGCCGGGCCCCACACGTCCATGTGAAGGGTCTGCAGCGGGGCCTCTGTCGGAGGAAACTGGGAGGAGTGAGGGGCAGCCCGTTGCCGCCCCTCGACACAGGGGACGCAGGTAGGGCCAGGCCCAGGAGGAAGGGGAGGGAGGGACCGGGGAAGACCAAAGACATCAGGAGACCACGTCAGCACCACTCACCAAGTTCGTAGAGAACGAGGGGAGGTAAAGACCAGACAGGTTGCCAGAGGGGGCCGCTGGACACGGGAGGATAGTGGAGTAGTGAGCAAGGACAGGACCCCGAGAGGGGTCTGCCAGAGAGACTGCAACTGGCCGGCCAAGCGGCGTGAGTGTGGTGCGGTCTCGAAAGAAGGAGCGAGAAGCCCCCGAGTCAAGGGTGAAGGTGTAGGAGGCCGAAGCCGACGCAGTACCTGAGAGAGCAGACTCACCAGCATCTGAGGGAGCAGACGCACGAGCACCTAGAGCAGCAGCCTCGCTAGCACCTAGAGCAGCAGCCTCACCAGTACCTAGAGCAGCAGTCTCATTGCCCGGGTCGGGTGGAAAACACCGGTAACAGTCACCCTCATCACTAATAGTCACAGCATACATGGCAGCAAGTATAGCATCAAAGTCAAGGTCAAAGACAGCTACTCCCGCCCTAGAAAGCTCGCCCCAGCGGGGGATCTCAGTGGCCTCCGGGAACTGGTGACGCCAAGCGTCCGTCAGGCGGCCAAAGCAGCGCTGGGTGGAGTGCGCACCCCCGCACTGCCCACCTGCGCGGTCGCCGGTGCGTAGGACGTAGGTGCACGGACCAATACCCCCACCCCGCTGGCGTGCAACGTACCACTCACGGAGCTGCTGAGGGGGGGGGATGTCACGAGTGCGCTGCTGCTGCTGCTGCTGCTGGCGCTGACCACCACCAGAGCCGACCCTCTGCGCAGCGCCACCCCGACCAGCTCCACCTCCTCCGCCACCTCCTCCTCCACCGCCGCCACCTCCGCCACCTCCGCTCCCACCGCCACCGCCGCCGCCGCCTACGCCTCCACTGCCGCCACCGACACCTCCACCCCCGCCACCACCCCCACCGCCACCCCCACCCCCTCCACCGCCTCCTCCACCGCCCCCGCTAGCTCCTCCAGCGCCCCTGCCCCCCTTGCCCTTGCCAGGGCGGCGTCTCCCGCTAGGGGTAGGCGCCGCACCGACCCACTCAAGCCCAACGAGGTCGACCGTAGCAGTAGAGGCAACAGAGGGCAAAAGGGGGGAGGGGTAACAACCCCTCAAAGATGGGGGTGCGAGGGTCACCACGAGAGGCTCCTACTGCTACTATGCTCTTCTCTGCTGCTAGGAGGGCCTTCTCGAGGAGGTCAACGGTGAGAGTGGTGGGGCAAACTGAGAGGAAGTGGTCCTTGACTACGCGAAGGGAGTCAGGGAGCCGGGTGACTATGTAGTAGAGGGTGATGTACATGGGGGGGGGGGTTCTTGGCGCAGAACTCAGCAGGAAGCGCAGCGCGGTAGCGAGTGTCACTAGTGCGGAGGTGCGTAATGAGGTCAGCGACTGTGGGAAAGGCAGCAAGGTCAGGGAAGAGGTACGGTAGTATGAGGCGGCTCAATGCAGCAGTGGCAGGGGAGGATTAGCGTGCAACTACAGCGTCGTACAAGGTCTGAGCACTCTTGTACAAACTAAAGTGCGCACGCTCAGAGGTAGGCAGGTGGCGACGCACAGCAAGACGTGCAGCAGCATCGCGTGTGGCCCACTGTGAGCGAACAGTGGCGTCGGCATTAGCAGCAGGGGCAGGAGAGGCACCAGAGAGGCACCAAAAGTGAGGTCAAAGAGGGAGAGACCGTCTGCCCTATCGCACTGTAGGAAAAGCTGCAGGTCATCTACCCAGACGTTAAAGTCAATGGCCCGACCCTCAGCGTCAGAAGCAAGGTCACTAGGGGTAGCCATGACAGCAGTAGACTAGCAGCGCGAACAGTAGGGTAAGGGCAGTGCAGTGACAGAGTCGCTGCTCTTACCGGACAGGGCGGCTCGCGCGGCTCGGCGGCTCGAAACTGACGGCTCGGCGGCTCGGCTCGGGCGGCTCGGCTGCTCGGCGGCTCGGGTGCTGGGCGGCTCGGTTGCTCGTCGCCTCGGCTGCTGGGCGGCTTGGCGGCTCGGCTGCTGGGCGGCTCGGCGGCTCGGCGGCTCGGCTGCTGGGCGGCTCGGCGGCTCGGCTGCTGGGCGGCTCGGCGGCTCGGCTGCTTGGCGGCTCGGCGGCTCGGCAGCTGCGCGGCTCGGCTGCTCGGCGGCTCGGCTGCTGGGCGGCTGTGCCGCTAAGGAAGGCAGGGCCGCGAAGGGCGGCGGGGCCGCTGAAGTGAGCGGCGACGGGGCCGCAGAGGAGGCGGCGGGAGGGCCGCTGAAGGGGCGGCGTCGAGGCCGCTGCAGGGGTGGCGACGGGGCCGCTGAAAAAGGCGGCGGGGCCGCTGAAAGGGCGGCGACAGGCCGTAAGGGGAGGGGGGCGACGGGCCGTAAGGGGAGGGCGGCGACGGGGCCGCAGTAAGGGCGGCGACGGGGCCGCTGTAAGGACGGCGACGGGCCGTAAGGGGAGGGCGGTGACGGGGCTGCTGCAAGGGCAGCGACGAGGCCGCTGTAAGGGCGGCGACGGGGCCGCTGCAAAGGCAGCGACGGGGCCGCTGCAAGTGCAGCGAGGGGGCCGCTGTAAGGGCGGCGACGGGGCCGCTGTAAGGGCGGCGACGGGGCCGCAGGTGAAAGGGCGGCGACGGGCCACAGGGGGAGGGCGGCGACGGGCCGCTGAGGGAGGTACGACGAGGCCGCAAAAGGGGCGGCGCGACGGGGCCACGAAGGGGCGGCGCGACGCGGCCGCGAAGGGCGGCGCGACGGAACCGCTAAGGGCGGCGCGACGGGCCGCTAAGGGCGACGCGACGGGGCCGTTAGGGAAGGCGCGACCCTAAGCGCGCGTCGGGCAGGGGCGGGACACGCCCCGGGCAGGAAAAAAGGTCGGTGGGCCCTAGGAACAGTTCCCACTAGGGAACCTGCTCGATACCATGAGAAAAGAGAACGAGGATGATTGGACTATGAAAGAGTTGGGTACAAGTACTAACCCTAATTGGGTTGTACCCCTTATGGGCTACCCCACTACAGCCTACACTAATGTATAAGCTATAATGTTCTGACACCTTAGAGTGTCCACAGCCTGTCCAGTCGCAGTCACAGTTACAGCCCTCCTCCCCCCTACCTGCTCCTTCTCCCTACACTGGTCCTACTGGAGGTCTTGCTGAGCGTCGTGAGCCTGCGTCTCGTCCTGCGTCGTCTGTTTGTGCTGCTCGCACTAGTCGTCATGCTCCGCGTCCGCGTCCTCCTGCGGTCCCAGGCACACACCAGATGGCACTGCGTCCTTCCACTGCTCCTCTGCGTGTCCCGTTGCCGTCTCCTCCAAAGTCCTCTCTTCCTGTTCTTGCTGACCCGAAGTCTGACTCTCTTCGTGCTGCCAGTCCTACTGTCATGCGTCTCCTGGCCACTGTTGTCACTGACCCTTCCTTTGAGTCCACTTCTGCGTCGGCCCTAGTTGCTGAGCTTGTCGACTTTGCTGCTCGTTGTCGTCTAGACTACGCTGCTAGTCTTGTTGTTGAGTCTGAGTCTGTCTGTCCTCCGTCCGTCGGGGGTGAGTGTGCTCTTAGCACGGACGTCCTTGAGGACAGGCAGGAGGAGTTCCAGTGTTTTGCTGCTGCTTTTCCTCATCTCGTGTCCACGCTGATTGCCCCTGAGGGAGACCCTGATGCACCAGACATCCCGACTCCTCGATCGTACGCTGAGGCGATCGAGGGTTCCTACTCCTCACAGTGGCAGTCAGCCATGGACGCAGAGATGGCTTCCTGGAAGTCCACAGGCACCTACGTCGACGAGGTTCCCCCACCTGGGGCGAACATCGTCAGTGGCATGTGGATTTTCAGGGTGAAGCGGCCGCCGGGTTCTCCGCCTGTCTTCAAGGCGCGTTACTGGCTCGAGGCTTCAGTCAGCGGCAGGGAGTTGACTACTTTCAGACCTTCTCTCGCACCCCGAAGATGACTACTCCTCGGGTGCTGCTGCACATAGCCGCTCAGCGCGACTACGAGCTTCACTCTCTTGACTTTAGCACTGCTTTTCTACAGGGCAGCCTGCACGAGAAGATCTGGCTGCGCCGCCCACCTGGATTCACTGGGTCGTTTCCTCCTGGTACCCAGTGGAGCCTCCGGCGGCCAGTCTACGGTCTCTGCCAGGCGCCCCGTGAGTGGCACGACACACTGAGGACTACACTTGCGGCTCTTGGCTTTGCTCCTTCTACTGCCGACCCGTCGCTGTTTCTATGCACCGACACCTCTTTGCCGCCGTTCTACATCCTCGTGTACGTCGACGACTTGGTCTTTGCCACTGTTGACACTGCTAGACTCGCCCACGTGAAGTCCGAGCTGCAAAAAAGACACACGTGCACAGACCTGGGTGAACTGCGCAGCTACCTTGGCTTGCAGATCACCCGGGACAGAGCACAGCGCACCATTACCCTGACTCAGTCACACATGGTGCCGAAGGTCCTTGAGCGCTTTGACTTCACGTACTCCTCGCCTCAGGCCACTCCTCTGTCTACTCGCCACTTGCTCTCAGCTCTGCCTTCGGATGAGTCCGTAGAGCCGAGTGGCCCGTACCCAGAGCTTGTTGGCTGCCTCATGTACCTGATGACCTGCACTCGACCTGACATTGCATACCCTCTTAGCATCTTGGCACGCTATGTTGCTCATGGGAGACACCGACCAGAGCACATAGCTGCAGCGAAGAGGGTGTTGCGCTACTTGTGCAGTACGTCGGGCATGGGGCTAGTGCTTGGAGGGCGGCGTCGAATGGTCCTTACAGGTCACGCAGACGCGTCTCGGGCTGACGACCAGGCTATGTAGCGGTCGTCACAGTGTTACACCTTCAGTCTTGGCTGTGGCTCTGTTTCGTGGCGGTCTACCCGCTCGTCTTCTGTTCTCCGCTCCTGCTGTGAGGATGAGATCTACGCGGGGGCCATGGCTGCACAGGAGCTACGCTGGCTCACCTACCTGCTGACTGACCTAGGAGAGCCGCCTCGTTCTCCTCCAGTTCTGTACGTAAACAACAAGGCCATGCTGGCCTTGTGTCGGGAGCACAGACTGGAGCACATAATGAAGCACATTGCTCTCCGCTACTTCCTTGCTCGTGAGCTACAGCAGCGTGGTTAGCTGCGCCTTACTTACGTGGCCTCTGAGGCCAACACTGCTGATATCTTTACCAAGGCACTTCCGCCTGGTGATCATCAGCGCTTCTGTACTATGCTAGGTCTTGTGCCTACTTGGCCTCACTTGCTCACTTCTTGACCTTGCTTGTACTATGATCTTTCTATACCTGCACTTGCGTGTTTACCTTTATATATGATCTTGCATGTGAACTGGCCTTGTGGCCTTGCTCTTGTGCTCGGATTGTGTGGTGACGTTGTGATCCACCCTGAGCTTGCTTTGCTCTGCTTGAGTGGTCTTGTGACCTCTTGTTCTCCCCCACTTTGCCTTTGGGGGTGTGTCAAACTTATATCATATAGCTTGTCTAGGCTATAGTGGGGTAGACACTATGGGGTACAGTTTCCTAGGGTTTCCTACTTGTACCCAACCTTGTGCTAGTTCATTCATTCCTCATTCTTCACACACCTCACCCAAGTTGGCCACACGTGCCAACCCAATTTCGTTTCTCCCAACCACTTGGCAGCATCTACAGTGATGGAGACGAATTTTCCAACCCCCAAAAGTCTGTACCCCCATATTGAGTCACTTCACAACTTCCCAAAGTCGTCGCATCACAAACAAGTCTTTGAACGATCATAACTTCCTCGTTCTTGCTCTGATCGTGACAATTCTTGGTTCGTCGGAAAGCTCTTGAGAAGTGGATTCACTTCAGATATCTGTCCAAGGCAAATGATATTCACACACACTCAGAAAATCCAAACCATACCGAACATAATTCTTGTGCACGCTCACACCAAGCAATGCACAAATATATGATGGGAGGCAAACTGGCGTGAATGCAAATGATAGCATCACATAACAAATGTCCCGTGGGGCGGGAGTCAACTATTGGGCGGGCGTTCGTGCTGGTGTCGTTGTCTCTGCTTTTGACGATGTTGCCGCTGCTATTGTTGGTGTCGCTGCTTCTGTCGATGTCTTCGCTGCTGTTGCCGTTGCCGCTGCTTCTGCCATTGCTGTTGCTACTACCTCTACTGCTGCCGATGTTAATGCTTCTCCCGATGTTTCTTGAATCATTGCTAACGCCCTTGTTCATTCTGCTTCTTATATGGTGTGCGAGTACCAGAATCCTCCGGGGCTGAAGTCGGGGTCAAGATGTGGTGGGTGTGACGTCGGATTTGGCTCTAGTGATACGTGACGAGGCGTGCTCTCGTCGAGCTGTTCTTTGGGTGAGTATTTCGGTGGTGAACCGGTGATGCAGGAGTCCATTGTTCTTGTCATGCAGTTAGTTATATTTCTTGAAACTCTTGCAGGTTGTGATGTTGTCGTTGAGGACGACGCCTAGTTGGAAGGGTGCTTTTGTGATGAGGCTACTTGGCTGCTTGAAGGTCGGAGATGGCGTGGTGGTGTCGATTGTTGTTGATTCGGGCTGTGAACGTGGGAGTGCCCTGACGTTTTGCAGAGGTGACAGAACGGTGGCACATATCGCCCTGCCTGGTGCTTGTGTTGTCGGTTGTTGTTGTTGTTGCGCCGTTGAGTGTGAAAGGCAACCTCTGGTACTGGTGCCTTCTTCTTGTGATGTTCTTCGTGCATGTACCTGTCTTGTTGCTCAGCGTGGATTTCGAAGCAGAGAGCTGCTTCGGAGATTCTTCCATGAGCTCGGAGGATGGCTCGGGTGGAGTGCCACTGAGGACTGAGACCAGTGATGACGACAGTGACGAACGC